TTCCAGCACATTTAAACAGGTCGTCACTCCATTTAGTGGGGGATGGTCCTATGACAAATACGTGGCTCGCCACTCGAGAACCTTACATCTTCATCGGCTATCGTCAGCTAACGCATCTTCTGAGCTATCGGTTCCCATTGTTTATTGCGGATATCTGCAGGGGTGCTAAGAAACTGTTAGATACTGCAAGAAAAATGTAACACGTTTAAATTGACGAATTCTTTTAATGGACACATTTTAAGCGTTCATTTTTTCAATTTCATTCGCAAAGACTGTATTTTTATATTAGTCACAGTAAGGACGTAATGGAATGTCACATGTTTTATCTTGCCCGTTGAATTAAGAACAGACGATTATTAGTTGACGTGTCTATGTGTTAATGTATCTTAACAGCTTAAGTAAATCAAATATTCGAGGTGTTTAGCAAAGTTATTTTTATTTTTCGGAATAACGTAATCTAAAATGAGGAGGGAATTACAGACGTTATTTAACTTTGCAACTGGCAATACAGTCTTAAACGAACGAGTATAAGTGTTGCCATTCTTAAAATGCGCGCTAAAAATCAATTATCACGTGGCATCGCTTTATATTTTGTGCAAACATTATTATCTGCGAAATCTCAGCCTCTCCATCACTTCGGACCTTTTATTGCATCGCTAAAAATTTCACGGTCGCTAATCAGATAAACATAAAATGAAAACACAATGGACGTATCGTAAAAAGTAAAAAATCGATGAACAACGCTGTTTTAGCATCACGACGGTAATAAATATAAGTGTTCCCCGAATCACGTTTGAAGGGCTCAAGTTATTTGAGATTTGAGAAAAAAGACTTCAGATTAGAGGCGACAGATGGGGGAAAACTTATGTACGAGTTATCTGTTTTGTTATTTTTTACTTCGTTGTTGATCTGTTGTATGTAAACACCATTTAAATGTTAATTATTTTGTTCATATTTTAATGCGACGTAAGGGATAAACAAAACGAAGAATTTGATAATCGAAAACCTTAAAATACTTATAAATTTTCGTAAAATTGCTTCGTGATATTTATATATCGATAATTTAAGCGTTATCGATTTGTTTTTATCATTTTTAAATGACCTTAACGTGTTCGAGCAATTCGTTTTAAACAGTAAATAATAATAGTGATATTATGTTTAAAGAAATTCATATTGAGTTTAGTAAATAAAAAGCTCAAGGCTTTTGGGGTATTTTTATATTAGAGTAATGATAATGAGTCTCATGAATGGTGAATCCAAATAGAAGTGTAACCGAATATCTTTTTCTATGTTACAAAGTGGCAAAGGAGCTAGCGGTTCACCTGATGTTAAGTGATAACCGCCATCCATGGACATTTGCAATATCCGTAGGGTTGCAGATGCATTGTCACTTTTTAATAAAGTGGTCCCCGGCTACCGTACTCACCAGATGAAACGCAGAAGTGTGGCACTTCTACTTCACGCCGGTCTTCTGTGAGGTCGTGGTACTAACCCGGACGGACCTTCGTGCAACAGCGAATAATGTTGCTTGACCCTAACAAAGTTGTTAATTTCAGAATATACATTCATGTGTGTTGACATTATGTGCAATCAGAATGTTGTGAAACGTACCTAGACATAATCTTTTTTCACGCTCCGAGAACCAAACTTCGATTTTAACATCTAATCATCAATTGCATATTTAATTCCTCCCTTCTTCTCCCGTCATCGTTCATTACGACGGTCGGCAGGGGTCCATGCATTCAGTCGACATTTCCGCGTTCCAGATGAATGCGTACAGCAAAAGGTAACCTTAATATGGACATGCAGCAGTCTTTGCTGTTGCCGGAATGGGCAGGCTCGAAGGGAAGTACCAAGACCTCACAGCAGACCGGCATGAAGCGGTATACTTCTGCGTTTCGTCTGGTGAGAGCAGTAAACGGCCACTTTAAAGAGGTGGCTGGAACATCTCGCCAGCCACAACCGAGTCGCCATTTGTTACCGTCCAAGTACAATGGCTGTGTCTTCATTGCAAGAGTGGGGTGGTGAAGCACTGAAAAGTTTAAAAAACCGGCCAACTGCGGACTCGCAAATGATTCTCGCGTACCATTATCTATAAAAATGGCAAAAAAATCATGTGTGTCATGGGAGCCCCACTAAAATATTGTTTTATGCTGTCGTTTAGTATTTGTTGTTGTAGCGGCAACACCAACACATCATCTGTGAAGATTCCATGAGATACAGCCTGGTGACATACCGACAGACAGACAAGACTGACAGCGGAGACTTATTAATGGTGTCCCGTTTTACCCTTTGGGTACGGAACCCTATAAAATATCATTGTTAATGCTGTGTTACCTTTGTTCTGTAGAGCGGATTTGAGAAGTCCCATCCCGGTGCCACGAACAGATACCCGCATTTCGAAATCTTTCTGCTGGCCTGCGGACAAAATAAATTGCATATTAGCAGAGATAACACAAAAGGTGTATATTTACATAAATCAGTGTGTCCAAACGAATAAATAAGTTCGATAAAAGTCAATTTTCAATCGATAAACCCGAAAATATCTCCCCAAGTGTTTCGGAGTCAAGTTAAACTGCAAAACAAGCGGAAATTCGGATTACGAAACAAGTCACGGTTGTTTTCTTTTTTGAACATAATGGCCGCAGAAAAATTGGATTTCGTTTGTTTTGTCACTACATGTTGTAAGAAGCAGTTTTTTTTATTTGCAGTGTTTTTGACGTTTTTGATGCTGGAAAGGATATAACAATGGATGCGCCAAGCATTGCTACAAATGCTAAAAAAATGTAGATAAAAGACGTTAAGATTTTCGTCGGTGTGGCAATCAGCCGTTTATCTTAGTGGTTAAACCATCAGGCCGCGAACACCGAAGACGTGGGTTCGAATCCCACAGCGGCGACAATCGTTTCGTACATTTTCTGCATATTTTAATAAAAATCATGTTGCCAACGAGTCAGGCTGACCCGCTCTGCGGTCGACTGTACCGACACACGAACTCCCTCGGTGCAATAAAATACCCATCGGGCGCGATAAGGCGATTATGAAAGTATTGTATAACGAAAAATAATAAAAGCGTTTCCGAGTAACAGCGGTATTGATGTGTCACCGACGGCCGTCGACCCGCCGCGTTACATCAGCCGTACAGGCGCGAACGCATTGAGGGGCGTTCTGTCGCCAACGAACCGACGGCCGTCGACCCGGATTGCGGATACATGTCAGCGTAGATTCAATATGAGCCAGTACAGGCGCGAACGCAGGTTTCGCAGGGGCGTTCGTCTATCGACAGCTTAGTCTAAATCATAACGCCAACGAACCGACGTCCGAACTCGACAAGGCGACTATGAAAATGAATCGAGCCGGACCGGATTGCGGATACATGTCAGCGTAGATTCACACATCTGTCCACCGGCCGCCTAATGCGAATATAAGAGGTCTGTTGCCCCCGGCACACCGTTTTAATGAGGAGCGCTTGGGAAACCACGACACGCGAAAACGTCCAAGAGTCTTCGGAGTTATTAACGTAGAGTAAGTAACAGTCTGTATATGTCCCACTGCTGGGCAAATGTCTCCTCTGTACAGATGTTATCAGGGCATAGTCCACCACGCGACTCCACTGCGTATTGACGGACTTCACATATCTTCGAAATATTTTTCTTGCTATTATTTCGAAAATATGCACGATTCCTCACGAGGTTTCCTTTCGCCGCTGAGAACGTTACCACTCACAATTAACAATTCATTAATGGCTGCACCTGGGAACTCAGGTCACTCGAGTATATTGAATTAAAAGCCTTCGGACATGAGATGGCTCTTGGCAATTACGGTTATTAACGTTAGGGTTATAAACTCGGATGAAGTAAGGACTTTATAAACATAGAACAGATGTCTGTTTGCAATCATTCGATCAAATCAAATATTAGCAAAGTTATTTTTATTTTTCGAAATAACGTCACCTAAAATTAGGAGAGATTTACTGACTTAATATAACTTTGCAACTGGCACTACAATCTTAAACGAACGAATAATAAGTGTTGCCATTCTGAAAATGCACGCTAAAAATCAATTATCACTTAAATTATCACTACTTTATAAACATAGAACAGATGTCTGTTTGCAATCATTCGCAAGGAAATTAATCAAGGAGGCAGCTTACAGCTGTCTGTATTGTACTTCACATTCTTCATTTAGATAAATATTAGTTTTACGACGGCGATAACGTCCCTGACGAGGCCATCCGCGACATCTGGCCCTTATCAGATGATGTCAATTGTACAGGTTTATTTCTGTGAAGATCGGAGAAATGGTTGGATGCACTGTCACGATACTAGATGGTAATCATGCGGCTTTAAGCAAAACAGCCAATAAAGCTGTTCAATTTGTTGTCGTCGGTTGGAAGTATGAAGTTCGTAAGGTCGGCTATCACTCTCGGAGAATATCCCATGCACCTATGGTTATATTTGAAGCTGTCTCGACTAATTGCTAAAAGTATAAACTTCAAAAATGAATAAACTACAAACAAGGTATAAATTATTATTGAGGTTAATACTTATTTCGAAAATATGCAGGTTTCCTCACGATGTTTTCCTCCACCGCTGAGCACGTGATAACTCAGCACTTGAAATTAACAATTTCATTAGCATCGGCAACAGGGATCGAACATAGGTTGCTCGAGTATATTGAATTAAAGGCGTGCGCCCGGACACTGAGCTATCACGGCTCAATTAATTTCAAGTCGTCAGTCAACATCACTATGTTCAGCATTGATTTCTCTGCGGCGTTGTCAGTGTCGTTCTTATCGAAAATTACGTTGTTAAGATATATCATAAGTACGGTAGCCGTTAATGCGGAGTATCTATCGCCATTTACATCGCGAGGGGAAGATAAAATACACAATTGGTATAAACATATTATCGCATTTACTACGATCGGATTGTCATATACGAGTAGTATCTTTGTTAGATTTTCATCCGAAACATTAGAACCGATGGGAAAGCTGTTCAAACCCTTCGAGGTCCGTCCGCCGTTTCGCGCGCAGCGGACGTCCGGACTCCGAGGCGCCGCGGCGTGCCCCAGGGTCCTGATTCGTCCCCCATATCGGCAAAGCGCGGTATCTGTGTCAGGGTTCCGCGGAACCGGTCGCCGGCTGCGGGACCGTTAGCCGTCGCGGCGACACATCGCCGCCGCGTCCGACCCGCGCTGATCCCTATCGGGCGCGTTGTGCACGTCCAGCACACCTCGATGGATCTACGTTGAGATCGGACCGATTGATCACACCGATGGCTTAATGGGTCATCGGCCGTGAGGCGTCAAGATTATCGGTTCGAGTCCTAACGGCGTGCGCTAACCAGGGCCCCACATATGCGGGGTGTGAATAGACAATTTCGGTTAGCCTGACGCCTGATCAGGCGGGTGGTGTACATCGCGCACATGGCCGCTGATGGATCTACGCTTAGAAGATCCAACTGATCTTGAGATGTCTAATTAATCGGTTAGAATCCCAATGGCGTCAGCTAATATAAACCACACATTTATGCCCGGTGTGAATAGCAATAATTGAACGAAATGTATGTAGTATGAGATATCTATAACGAAACCCAAGCGCCAAAGGAGTGTCGAGTGGCATTTGATGGCTCTGTTGACGCGGCTGCAAATTATTGCGTTAATTGTCCGAGTAGCTTCGTAGTTCATGGAAATTAGATTTAATACACAGATGTGGTTGTTTGTTCGTGTGCTACTTTTGTATATACAGTTCCCTGCAACTTAAAATAAAGTCATATCAGCGGATAGCGGCAGAGGTACTGTTAAAACCAATTCCATAATATGTATAAATATTATTACATACCGTTTCTAATCTATGATTGGCCGCAGGGCCGTGGAAACTAGCGGGATTATCGCGTCATCGCAATTCTGTCTGACATGACAGCTTTAACGGTTACGAATGGCGATAATTGACACATTACCCGAGCCGGGTTAATTGTGCGTTAGCTGAAAGAAAACTGATCGTACTCGTATTATGCTGTCGTAAGCTTCGCGGGATGAATACCTTGGGAGAGTCAGCGTGAGCCCGGGCAAGCTTTTCATAATTCATGAGTACAATAAAGGTGGAAGTACCCAGTATAGATAGAGAATGTAATAGCCGGTTTCATTTACGAGTTGACAATAACTATTATGTGGTCGCATTAAGAGTATTTCTGCACATTACTTATAGTTAAGACAGTAAAAATGTAACGAAAGGCGAACGACCTCGATCATAATATAATAGAGCACGATATATCTTCGTGAACGTCATTTTGATGGATTGAGACTTACCGGTTCGGCTGCCAAGTTGAATTGTCGCTATTATTTTGAGATACTAAGAACCGGGGACATTGTCGAAATTTAATCGCTTCTGTATCTTGTTATTGGAATGAAGTTTATTTATGACGACTCCTGGGCATATTTATGATACTATAATGAAATTAGGGCGCAACGTTTGGCGACATGCACAAATACGAAATGCAACAGTCGACTATATTGCAGGTTTAACAGCAATCTATGTTCAAAACTATAACCACACACAAACCTATAGGCCAAATAATCCTAGATTAATTAACTCCTACACGAAAAACAAAATGAACAACAGTTATTATAAGAGATAAGCAAAAAGTTGACTAACTGTATACGAGGCGATAGCAACATTTTTGCTCACGGTTATAATTCCGTTTTAGCTTGTCCGCCAGCATTTATATCTTCGAAAATGAAGCTGGTGATTTTTTTAAAATTTTACCTATAAAATGCTGTTAAACACCTCCCAGATTGTTATCTCTAATCAAAATGCTTACAGCGTGACTTTACATAAACTTTCTCAACAACACTCCCTCTATTAACATTAAATTTTTCTCTAATAAATTATAATCACACGTGACATTAAGTCTGCCCAAATTTAAAGGGCCTTCGGAAAGTGTCGACGAGATAATAACTAAGTCGATATAAAGTATATTTAATGTAACAAGTGCAAGAGCGATTAAGTGGAAATACGTTTCCCTAATACAAGTTTACGACCGTATAAGTTAGTCACGCGACGTTTATAATACGCAAGTGTTTTGATTTTGTGCCGTTGACAACATTGGGGCAGTATAAAAACGTGTAGTTGTTCCGTTCAAGTTGGTAGATACTGCCCGATTACGAAACATTACTTGCTTTGCTTTTACGAAACCGGTTGGTGTGTAATTAATTTCGATTGAAACGTCTATTTATGGAGTTTAATAGTTTTAAAACAAGCGGTTAATTCTCAAGAGATGTGACGTATGATCAATAACATGATAAACTTGACTAATCGCCATTCGATTGTCGATAACGTGATACTGACAACTTCTGGTCTTTTACTTCTTATTAAGATTATTCTCAAGTTTAAACCCAATAAGCTGTTTGCCAGTATCATTAAATCATACAGAACGGAACACTATGGTTAATCATTGTATAACATTCTTCGTCATTACTTTGCCTATAAAGTTTAAAATCAGGGCCGCAACCTCGCTCCGCAGAAGTAACGCTACTCTAAGTAAAATGTTCTAATGTCGATATCACAAACAGACGTAAATTTGTCACAGACAAGCGTAAACTCGCTCGGCTTTGGAATAGGTGCGCTTGGGTTATTTATTATTATCCATTATTATCCATATTAGAGCAAGTCTTAGACGAGTGGCGATCTCAAATTCTTGTGGCAACTCGTGTCATGAATAACAAAAAAAAATGAAACACTGATTACAGTATAAATGAATTATAGTTTATTGATTACAGTTATGGTGAACTTGTGTTTAAACTTTGACGCACATACAGTTAAAAAAATTATTTATACTTGCCGATAACGTTATCATATTCACTCGCCTCACAGCGAACGTCTTACGTCTCAAAGTAGATATGTATTGATGGTCCAAATTTTAAAATGCCAACAAAATATTTTTAATACTTTATTTTTCTGTCCTTTAGTCCAGTTTATTAATTATTGAACATAGATACTAAGTTCCCATAACATAAACCACACCAAGCGAGGCATAACGCGCCAGCCGACGGCATAATTTATTATTATAAACTTATTAGTAACACCGCCACTAAGCGCAGAATTACCGTGACGTGACAAGTTATCAATTCAAAAATTTAATAATACGCCCACTTTACCGTTCATTTGATTGTCGCAAGAAAGTGGGAAGATCCGTAGCTGGTTCGGCACTGATTGCGTTTAAAGTTTAAACTTTAGGCTATAGATTAGATATGAGCGATAGCCCCCGAGCCGCGTGACAGTCAGGGGGGATAAGTTGTTCCGTTGCACGAAAAAAATTATCATAATATTGTCGAACCTAATTGTTGCCTAGGCATTAATCACTGTTATCCAACAGAACCTACAATAAGATGACCCTGTACACAAAGTTTACCTGAAGATACACGACTAAATCATCCTAAAGCATCAACTTATCAAACGAGTTGCAGTGCATTTCGCTATAAAGTAATCTCCTTTACGATATAAAGTAATCTCCTTTCCATCGCTTGCTTAGCTCAATTTTTCTATGTAGTCAAATACATAGAAAAATTGAGCTTCTGGACGGTTTAAAAAGTTGGGTGTGGGAACTAGGCGCTTGCACTCTCGCGGCTGCCGCATCAGGCGCCCAGGAGTCCCCAAATTGACTCGGCAGTCGTGAGTCGCGGTAACGATGCTAACCAGGCGCGATATACGGGGAAAGTCTCTCTGCGAGATTGCAGGCACGAGAAGTTGACAATCACTGCACAGCGTGATGATGTCGACCGCGAAGGATAGGTATAGAGGGCTGCGCCGCATGATATCAAAACTTCTATCGTTTTGAACAAAGTAGAGCATGTACTTCAAAAGCCATGTAAAGATCCAATACTACAATAAATGGAAATACAATTATAAGTTTCAACTATTCGAAAATTTCCTGAACATACTTCCTTGACGGATAGTCAAGGAAGTATGTTTCTATCGAAATTTTTAAATAGCGAGTTTGTTTTCGGCAACATTTTGTGATAGCTCCGATAGAGAAACGTAGCTTCCAAGCAGTTGAAATAAAAATTTTTTTATGTGATCGCGAGTAAAAATTTTATGAGTAGATATACATTTAATTTTAAGAAACAATTTAAGACACTCAGAACATACATCTAAATGAATATGAATCAAATGTTTTACGCTTCCTACTCCGTGTTAATCAAAATCAAAATATATATAATATATTTATTCAAATAGACGCTTGCGCGCTCTTATGAATCGTCAAATTTTACATCAAAGAATATGTGTATAGGTTCGTAAGGTACCACCGGTTCGGAAAGCGGTTTCTGTTGAGAAGAGACCGGCAAGAAACTCAACAGTTGCTCTTTTTCAAAAATATCAGGGTACAATATAATATACAGGTATAATAGTCTTATTCTAGCCTACGTAAGTATCAACAGTATTAACTCCACACATTGGCGTCGTCGAGATATTCCGAAATGGTATAATATGCTTTAATCATTAGTTGATTTTTAATTTTACATTTAAATTGGTCAAGCTGCAGACTTAATATCGACTGTGGGATTTTATTATACATGCGCACACTTTGCGCCATGAACGACTTATTTACTTTTAATTCAATAAAGACAAATATAGTTCGTATTATAAAACAATTCATTAGGCAAACGACGGAAGCATTAGCTGTCTCTTCCCGGAGGCGTCAGATGCGCATTAACTGATAGACGAGGAATTCGAAACGTACCTTCCGTGAAAAGTAAAACTGTAACGAATCGATAAAAACCGCCGCCGCTAAGTGCGCTCAAGAATAATGGAAAAATCAACAGACGTCACTTTCTAAACGCTGCCGGCGACAATGCAATATGAAAGCGGCAAAAACACGACAACGGATCGAAGATATTGATGGAATCACGACGCCACACAAAACACTGTGAGAATCTAATGAGAATTCTCCTCTATCCGACTGACACCATCATTGAACGGATGTAAGTACTCTGTGAGCTATGTGAATCGACGATCATATCTAGTACGCTCGGTACAAGAAGACGAACCCACCTTATTTTTTTTTTTCGTGGGAAAAATCCTTTATGGATCCCCTACCACTGGATCGGGGGAGTGGCAGGGGTATGTGGGAGTCCCGGTGAGAAACGGGTACCCACTAAAAAACCCACGTTGCACCTGTCTCTGTCGCATCGGCCGGGGACACGGGAACACGTGGACGCAATCTTCCGCGACCCCGGCGCGACTATGGCCCTGTTTAGGCCTCCTCTACTGTATCGTGCTGTGCCGGTGCAATTGGCACAGCACACGTCTCGAGCCCCATATTGAGCGACAGACACCCCCATGTCTGCCGCTCAGGGTCTCGCTATCAGGGGGGAAGGTTGCGCGCGTAGGCCAGCCTCCTGCGCCCTGGTCTCCGGCGGCGGATTTCCAGGGTGGCAGTTGCCTCCCTTTCTCTCTCCGCGGCCTCCTTCCGGGTGATAACGACCTCAAGACGAACCCACCTAGAGGAAGTATGATTTTCTCTATCGCATTCACATAGTCTAAGATTCATCTACAGACTATGGCCTCCTATAAAGGAATAACCACGACAAATGCATACCAACTTGCTTAGATCATCGTCTTATCTAGCGAGTTCATTCTATTCACGGACCGAAGAAACTTTTCGTACCGTTGTTCAAAACGAAAAATTAACTATAATGGAAACAACACCGCAAATTTATGGAAAAAGGAATGTTCCATATTTAAGATCCGCTTTCAAAGGTTTACGCTTAGATCGAAGCTTCCCCCGAACGCCCAATACTTTGGCAGATAAAATAACCGAGATGAATTACAGAGATAACTATAAAATCAGAGCTGGAGCGCTGTGGTGTAGCAATAAATCTTGCACGGATATTGCGAAATAGTAGTACGCTACGTGGTTTCCTGCATAACTTTGTGCAAGGCGTTTCGTGTTTTCCCTTTCATTTGTGTTGCTTGGCCGTGTGAAATCCTTATTTCGGGGGATGACTTGAACGGACAATCAAAGCCACATTTCCATTAACTAGTGTTGTTGCTGCTAAATATCTTCACGTTTTAAGTAAGGAGCCATGATAGCTCAGTGTCCGAGCGCTCGCTTTTAATTTGAAATTTCTTAATTACAATTTTAAAAGCTTACTCAATATATGAGAAGTTGTGCCAATCCGCAATGGTTTCGCATGGTGGACTATGTCCTAATACCCTCTGTAAAGGCGGCTTTTGCCCAGCTGTGGGATATGTATAGACAGTTATCCACTTTTTTTGACTAAGACACTCCACTCTCCAACGTTATATTGATGCTAACTAACAAACTTAGCGGATCATGTTTAAAAATAAACTGCAGAGATAACATGTAGGTATCACATTAATTATTTTACCAAGGAAGCAAGGCTATATTAGCTTTACTGTCACCAGTGACAAACTTCAATTTTCGATTAACGCGAAAGAGTCTTCTCTCTAGGGATGGGCATATCTCAATGTATCGATAAGGACAGCCCTATTGTTGCATTCCAATTTCGTATGTTTATCGATATTGCGGCCCGATCGGAACATTTCACAAGGCCGCGGGCTACGGGCGGCGAGCGTTTGATAACGCCGACACGGACACACGGCCGTGCGGAACGCCGGGCGGCGGTGGCGGTGTGACGGTTACCGTGTGTCACGGCCACTTTCACGGGTTCGAACCGCCCGACAGGCTCGCTATCGTTTTCGGAGCCGTCGGGAATTTTTAACCGTCGGATTACACGCGAAGCGAGAGTTAAGATATCAACGATTTAATTGTATTCCATAAAAAGAACTGATACAAAACGGGTATTACTTTCAAATTAAGTCCGATCAGTAAAACCCGAACGAATAATTGTGGTATAGATACAAAAAACGATAATACGCATACCTTTTGGTAATTGTGGGTTAATGACCTCTTAATAAAGTACTAAACTCCGGTACTACATAAATTAGCAAAATTATAACTGTATAAACAGTATTCGTTATGCTAATTTTGTTTTAAATATTATCAATGCGCGTAAATTATGTACGTTTCTCTATATTATGAATTTATTTAAATTAATTTAATTAAATCATACCATATACACGGAACGCAAACTACGTATTTCCTACATCATCGTTTTAATAAGATCAATTGAGCTATACCAAAGTTAAAGGTTTGTACCAATCACACAACTTTTGTGAACATATTGACTTCCATATACAATGGAATCGCGGTAAGGATTAGCCGCGTCGAAAACGTGCCGCGTCCGCCGCGTGCCCGTCACGGCTCCGCTACCGGCACAATTATCGAATCTAGACCACTCTCACTGAATCAAAAAGAGCAACGAGACGTAAAGAAAGCAACTAAGCGACGTCAGGTGCGCCCCCATTTCACTTTCCAATGACTTATCGCCGCGGACCGCCGCCCGAAATGCGACCTAACTGACCAGGGCCCACGAGCGAGATTCGCGTGCTACGCTCCAGCTCAGTGCCGAAGAGGTTTTCATTATCTAGATTTGCACGGAAACCCTTTAAGAGCCGCTAATTGTGGCCGTCCGTCCGCCGACTGAAGGTTTCTGCGAATGCGCGCATTAGACGATTTCTTTCCCTTTGTAAATAACTGTCATAATGGTGAGCATTCTACATGATATCCATTATTAAGAACAGCCAAATACGAATTAGTTTACAAACGTATTAAACCATATTCACTCAAAACAATTTCGTAATATCTCTTCGCGGTGATTAATGAAAACGACTGCTGACTGTATCGATTGTAACTTCGTACGGTTAAAAAAAAATCCAGTCGACTTTCCATTGAGTCTGAGAGTAACCAAAAAAACTGGTAGCCGTCGATCGCTTTTAAAAATCCGAAATACATTATAATATCGGGCGGGTGCCGTCCTGTTTGCTTTCTTTTTTGGGGTTTTAATTTAAAATCTTCTTTCGGTTCAATTGTTTTGACGTGTGAAACCGGAACGCGCGGTAGTAAATATCCTGTCGGTAAGATAACATTGAAGAAGTAAAGCACATTGCCGGGATAAGCGCGAACACGTGTGGATAAACCAATAAATATATAGCGCGTTCTTTTCTTTGCCAATATAATCTATTATCCTGGATCAGGAGTGGCCAACAATTCGGTTGCGATAGATCATATATTTCATGATTTCGGTCAATCGCTGCTGATAAAGATGTGGAAGTTAGCATGATTGAATAGACTGTTACTGAGCTAGTTCGTTTACCATCGAACCATTGATTACTTGCCATCAGGTGAGATAGTAGTGAAGCACTTAGCCGGTTTTTGGGTAAAAAAATGTTTCAAAATATAAAACAACCTGTGAATATAGTTAATACCGTCTATATTATAGACTCTATGCAATACAAACAATTTTATGAAAACATATCAATTTTACAAAATTTTGTATTTTCAACACCACTATCATAATTCATATGTATCTAAACATGATGATCACGTGAGTTAAGTGCTTTTTCCCCATCTCAAAAGTGCCGAACGCGCTATAGCTAAAGAAGTTTTCACTTGAAAAAGGTTGAAAACCCCTATACATATCTATACAGTATTTTTAAGCACGTACCAGTACGTTTTAAAAGAGGTAAATTTTATTACAACAAAAATAGCAACATAGAAGAATGACTGACGTTAGTCTGACGAAGTTTTTTTTTTCTTAAAGTTGCCAAACGAGCAGACGGTTCACCTGATGTTAAGTGAATACCGCTGCCCATGGAAATCTGCTACACCCGAGGGTTTGCAGATGCGTTGACAACCTTTTTGGAAATTGGGCTCCGCCTACCGCCTACGAAACGCGAAAGTGCTAGACTTCCACTTTACGCCGGTC